AAGTGGGGTTATGTGGTCTTTGTTGTGTAATAAGCTAAGGTAGCAGGCTTTTTCCTGGTGATTTTAAATGTAGACACACTCAAATCATACAAATAAATAATAATGTGTTAATTAGGGAGCTGATTAGGGAGCTGAGTGCTGATTTTGTTTGTTAATCTTAATGCTAATCTAAACTTCAGCTTCATATTTATTAGACTAATGAAAGCAGTTTGATGTATCACAATCTTAGAGTCTGTCAATGTGTTAACAGTTGGCTGAACACAAATGTGTGATACTGACCCTTCCGGCCCGTCCACACAGCGGCTTGCGTTGAAGCTTCAACGCTTCTGCCCATCCACTTTGAATGGGGTGACGTCACGTTTCGCCAAACTGCATTGTGGGAGCGAACCGTAGCTTTGCTCGCGTTGCTCGCTGCAAAAAGTTGAGCAATGTTCAACTTTTGTAGCTTTTGAAGCTTCGGTGGAAGCGTCAGCCAATCGAATCATATGTCAGTACAAGCTCTAGCCATACTTGCCAACCTTGAGACCTCAGAAATCGGGAGCATTTCAAAATGCAAAATGGGGGGAGGGGGGGGGATGCTAGTGGATCGCCGGATGTTAGATTAACGTTAACATGCTTATTGTAGTTCTAAGTGCAATGCCTTGCGGCCTATAGCATCATCCTTGATGGAGCATATGTGAATCTTGATTGCCACGTAGCTATTTTAGGTCTTTTGTCGTGCTGGTGTAGACGATTGTTGGTTCAAGCGATTTATTGAACATGTACTTCGATTTAATGCCGGTGACGAATAATCTATGACTATCTTTGACTGATTGTTTAAATGATTTACGATTGAAACGCTCTGTCTTACGGTTGATTAGTGCGACCTCTGACAAGTCGAGTGAACTAACTGTGATGGAGACGGGTACGTGTGTTGGTAAATCGCAGTTGCCTACTGGATTACGAAGTGTACGACCTCCGCGTGCGAGGTGCACGGACTGTTGTCTCGGTACAATGTCACCCCACAATGATTACGGTTGTGACTTAGTAGTGGGGGCTTACGGTACACTCTGTACACGTTTCGAAACGTTCACTGATCCGAATCGTTTGGTAGTATGACCAATTATATAATGAACCTATGGACCTATTGTTTGTATGAACCAACTTAGATGTGTTTTGGTATTACACATACAAAAGAGTGATCAAAATCCTAACTTAGTAACAGTTTTAGCCAATGTTAAACGGCCTAAGCTACGGCTACTCAAGTGCAAAACTCTTTAGGTCATGTAGGTTATGCATGCGAGTCAGCCAGGTCGTTGGAAGACAGATGTGGAGCTACTATTTAGTCTATTACATTTCAGTCGCTCCAGTGTTGGGACTCCTAACTAAAGGTCTGTGGAAACCGAAAAAATGTAGAAAGAGCAAGGGAGAACAACGTCTAGTAGTTTCGGGACCTTTATAATATTAACATTCCCCCACACAACGACTCCGACAACGATCACCAATGGTCACCGTCTTTTACTCATACCTGGTTATTCCACATCAAAAATTGTCTGTAACGTGTACCGGAATTATGGGCAAGACAAGTCGATAGCACGGAATCTACAATTGTAAGACAGTCTTGTTACAATGATGAGCGTCAGAGTTGTGAAACTTCCATATATATTCAATGTGTAACAAACATCGACCACAAACGTGAGACCGACGGTTTTTACTTCGGAGATCGCGTTCGAAAAAAGTCCCTACGACCCGTAATAAGTGAAATGAGGCGTCCAGACCGTATATAGTCGCAGTAGCCGTACCCGGCAAGAGAAATTGGTTATGTAAGCGTGTGAGTTAGAGGTCGCGGTTAGTAGCCCGGACGCAGGTTGAAAATTTTACCAGCCTAAGAGGCAGAGGAAGGAGTCTAGTCGACGAGCAAAAGTCCCACGAACTTCGGGACGCCTGGCGGTGGTGTTGTAGGTGAAAGAAAGTAGTGTAGGTGCAACGGGCTCCTCTCGATTAGGTGTTCTGGAGTAGTGTGGAAGAGAAGTAGGGTAAGGAGTTAGTCTTAGGTCTAGAAGTTGTATAGGAGAAAAGTGGGGTAGAGGACTAGTTAGGTCGTAGAAGTTGTAGGGAGGAAGTAGAGGAGTAGTTAGGTCTAGAAGTGTATGGAGAAGTGGGGTCAGCGGAGTAGTCTTAGCTAGAAGTTTGTACAGGAGCAAAGTGGGTAGAGGAACCAGTGTTAGGCTAGAAGTTGTAGGAGAAGTAGGGGTCAGGAGTAAGTTTGGTCGTAGTTCGTAAGAAAAGTAGGTGAGCGACCAGTTCTTTAGGTCTAGAATTGAGGAGAATAGGGCAGTGGAGTAGTTTAGGTCTAGTTTGTAGGAGAAGTGGGGTTAGAGGACTAGTTTAGGTCTAGAAGGTGTAGGAGAAGTAGGGTGAGAGAGTAGTTTAAGGTCTAGAATTAATATGGTACAGTCCTAACCCAAGACTAACGGTTTTCTGAATTAATGTATATATTAGATACCGCGGTACGACCAGTTTTTACAAGAAATTTTTTTTTTCTGTTTTGTTTCAGAAAGGCCTAACTTGACTTAGACCGTAGGTTGTTTATCAAACGAACAAAAAAAGACCAAAGATTAAAAAAAATTCAGTCCTATAGCAAAAAGTATTTGGAGTCTCACCGTTAAAAACGAAAACACTTTTCGGAGTGGAATCGGATTGGGTAGTTTTACCAATTCCGAACGGGCAGATGGAACACTTCAATCTAGACCACTTGGAATTGTTTGCAAATTAAGATGTTTAGTCGTTTTGCCCTCCGTTTGTACGAAACTTCTCAACACGACAACGAGTCGGGACCTCCTTTCGTTAACGAACACCATTGTTGGTTGACTCCGCTTTGGACTAACGAAGAGGTCGGACGATTTGCGAGGATGTGACAAGTGGTCCGATCCGGTAAAAATCAACCTCTACCATATCACACGTCCCGGATGTCTCATAGTCACAAAGCGGTTAATTTTCTTTCTCCTCAGTCGTTTCACACACTCCTGGGATCTTTGCCTTCTTAATTTATACGACGACTCTTTTTGTAAATTTTCGATCTACAAACGTCTGCGAAGCGAAAACCGCTACCAACAAAATAATTCGTCAAGACGTTTACAGGACTTGTGTAAATTTCGTTTCTTATTCGTCACGTCTCCGGGTCGTAAGAATAGCACGGTTGTGAAAACTAATTAATTGGTAGTAGTACGTTTACGGGTCTTTACTATAGTCTTTAGTTCAATAACGGTCCATACGCAAGATCGTTTGCTTTTTGCCTATATTCTTCTATTTCAACTGTTATCATCCACTTTTTATATTCTATTTTGTTTATAAATAAATTTCCTTTGAGATAAATCAAATGTTCTAGTTATAATGTGGTTTAAATTTACTTATATTTGTTTCTTGAAATTTTTCGATATTTTGAAAAGTCCTTGTATACATTATATACTGTTTATTTGACAAACCGTTGAAATGTCACTTGAAATACATAATAAATTGTGATTACCATACACTTATTTAACATAGTTAAGTAGTACTTTTCCAGACACCACAAAAATACCACTAACAACAAGCTCCTCAGAACCCTATGTCTTATCACGCGGTACGAACACATACGTTCCCCAACCGTCCCCCGGAGATCAAGGGAAAACTAAGTTTCCAAAGTCTTTCTATTTGTCACGTTTTCCAAAGACTCAATTGAGACGGAAAAGTATTTCGTCATTCGAAAGGTCGTTCTACAAAAGGTTTTCCAGTCTACGTATACGTCCTTCCTCACAATAAGGTATTTATAACCAGTAGAATATTGATGGGAGACGTCGTAACAGCCACATTGACGTAAAAGTCCGTCTCAAACCTTATACTGAACGTGATTAACCTTTTTTTTATCCGAAGTTCATTTTTTTGTTTGGGACACCTATTCTCCTTGTGAATAAAAAATGGGTAATAATAAAAGCCGGTGGTAGAGACGACGAGAAAGTCACTCTTAATGTACAGATTACTTCGTGGTCGTCGCCCTCGTTGATCCTGTCCATACATAAGAGGGTACCGAGGAAGTTTTCTTCTTCCTTTAGAGTTAATAAACACGGTTTAACAGAAAGGACATGGCAGAGGTCCGACGAGCGGCAAAGTGGTGGACTCTCGATTTACGTCTGAGTTATTTACAATATATTATCTCGTTTAGTGTACATTCCGTTTAGCCCTTGTATGGACAATGAACTGGGACTTTATTAGCAGGCTTACGTATGGTAAAGACAACTTAGTAACCCTTTGTCCACCGTTTCCGACTTAAGATTAGGCTGATTCAGCGTGATGTTTCGACAACGACTTCATGTTCCCTCATTACGGACATTAACATATTAATTAGCATAAACCGTTAAGTTCTTTCATCCACACCATGTAGACCTAAACTATAAAACAAGACTGAATGCAACTACAGCAAACGTTTATGTAAACTACTCTATAGGTGCCTGTGGGGTAGGTTTTTTCTCCGGGCCAGAAGTTTGAGGACTCGGTAAACGTAAAGTTATTTTTTTAGGTGTTGTTAGTGAATTATCTTTACTCTTATGTTGTTACACCATTTACTATTGTTTACAGTGCTAGCTCCCGGACAACAAGGACAAAAAAACCCCGGCTGGAAGAGGGAAAAACACTACCACTACGCTTTAAATCTATGAGGTTTTACTTACCTAACTATTGTCCTAGGCTGTTAGGACAACTAAATGCGAGGTGGGTGTGGTGAAATAAAACTGGAAAGTACAGAATTCAAACACTCAGTAGAGAAAAGTTGAAAGAATAAAAAAATTTACTGATGGCCTAGCCATTCTTGTTATGTACAAAACACGGTTAAGGTTAGTAATTTCCAGGGTACTGCTACCGTAAGATGACTAGTATTAAGGGTAACAACTACCATAGAATCTTATCTAAAGTAACACGTTAAAAGTTTTAGTGTAACCAAAGAGTATGTCGTAGAGCTATTAGCATAAACATAAGTGAGTGACAGGATGTGCCCCGAAAACCTCGAGGACGGGGGAGGGACACTCGGCACACGAGACTACCAGTCGGACGGTGAGACAAGACTACTCAGTGGTGGCAATGTCGCCTCTGTAGTCACTAATACAAATGTTACGCAATCAGTTGGTCTTTTAACTGTGGTCATTACTGTTTTTCTACTCATTCGACGCACCCCAGACCCACGCACACAACCGCCTGCAACGCTCGAAGCGCAGACGCTCCTCGCTGTCACCACTCGACCGAATGACCACCAAGAACCAACACGCCCCGCGCTCGTCACTCGTGTCGTTTGGGTCGGGCTTCTGGTTGGGCCGTTGGGTGTGTACTGTGGGCGTCGGACGAACACAAGAGTGTGTGTCTGAGTGTCAGAGCGGCGCAGGGCGGCAGAGTCCGACTCTTTAGGCGCCTCGACGTCGACGGACTCTTTCTACTCACACACCACCCACTCCTTCCAGGCGCCTAACCAGCCGGGGCTGCACCTGCATTGCATTGCCCGAGGAGCCTAAACGAGGTTAACGCAGGTAGCCAGCAGCATGCAGGGAACCAAGGGCCTTCTTGTTACCTCTGTTCTTCAAGACCCCGTCCGTATTGTTCCATAAAAGACACAATCTCAAAATGAGCAGATGACTGAGAACGTCTGCAAATGTACGTGCTTTTCGAGTATATTGTGTGTTCCCCTGCCATTATTGGCCCTTTTCGTACTGTACCCCTGCACAAGACTTCCGATCTTGGTTGTTGTGTTAGTGGACTTAGAGGACGGGCCTGTGTGTTCGTCGTCAAAACTAACCGATCTCTTCACGAAGAGTTGCACACGCAGGCGCCTGTGACCACCAGGCACCGCGGGGGGATCACCAGGCACTCATATAACCATTTTAAAGTGTAAAACTTTGAATTAAATTAATTAATTTCAAAAGGCGTGAGAACACGCCTTATAAAGGACGAGCTACCTCGCTCGAATTTGAATGAAAGTTAACGAATAAAAACAGAAACGTCTGTGGAAGTAGTGTGTACAACGGTGAACAAAAATGGTAAAAGTTCCTCCCTAAACAATTGAGACCAAGATCTTTGTACACAAAACCCTATAAACACCCAATCCGCAGGCGCTCACAAAACAAATAACAAATTACCAGGAACCATACTTTTCAAACTCTTTTGTGACCCCGATCTCGGTATGAACAGTGGGAGGGGCTAAAAGCGCCGTCTGTGGGCTAAAGTAACGGGAGAGGGGACCAAAGGAAGGGCCCCCGTATAACAGAGGGGCTAAAAGAGGGTTAAAGACTTGCTTTAGTCTAAATGAGTCCTGACAAAGGTGAGCCGAAATTATGTCCGATGTGGAACAAACCTAAGGTACCATTGTGCAGAGGAAATCACGCGCCGTAGACTTTCAGACTCTCCCAACTCCGTCTATCAGTGTCTTTTGTCTTGTTCTTAGCTGTGTGATGAGATGAGAGACGAGTGAGGAA